GCAGCTGCGTGCTAGGTGAAAGCAGGATAATTCTATGTGAACCAGGAGCTAGGCACCGTTTGCAGAAGTTGCAGCTCAATTTTCCAAGGTTAGTTCCATAGAGAGTACATTCTGCCATTACTTACCTACATTTATCTGGGCTGTCTGATGATTTCAACGTTACTATATTCTTATAGAATTTGATTTCCGATATTGAGAGGGATGGGCTTGCATTTGAATTAATGAAATTAAGCTACAGGCATGATTTATTTGATTTGAGGAATAACATTTGTCTTGCACAAGCAAAGCAAAACAGGTAGCATTGTCAGCAGTCAGCAGTGTGAGTGACCAGCTTCTTTTTGCCTTGTGCAGTGATGATGTGGCTTTTGCATTAAAAGACAGCAAGGAGATACCTTGGTTGGCCAAGTATTTATGATTTAAGATCATCACATTCACATTCTCGGTTCTTTATATGAACAATGTTGACCACCTTTGCTTCTCAAATTTTATTTTCTATCCATACATGATAGACTCAACTTTGGCTGTCAAAGTAGAACTGTACTCCCTTTTTATTTTCAACTTCGGCGATAAAAACTGTACTTTGTTCTGAGGCACTTCAATTATTTTTGACAGCAAATATGAAATTAATAATGGTTGAAGTAGGTCCAAGTTTTCTATATTCCTTTATTATGCTTTTATCCTTGGAACTTTTGCACACTATCTTTGTGTTTATCAAAGAGCACAATGCAAAGCAAAAGAAAGTGCATGGCAGTACCCTGAGGTAGCACTTAGCATTGCATTCCTCGGTTTCTTTTCTGGCCCGGAATATATATATATATATATATATATATATGGGTTTTGAACTACAATCTTTTCTGTACAAGTTTCTTGATAGAGGGACTAGAGGCACCCAATTAAATCCCATATGATTTTTAGGAATGGTTACTGATCAGCCTTCGCCGAAGCAGCAACGTGCATTCTTCAGGCCTCGACACCTGTTTCAGCTGTTGGTTGCTCATAGCCTTGGCATCACAGTTGATCTATCGGAGGACCCAACTTTTGAGTAGAACATTCTGCTATTGGGCTCCTTTTCTTTTGGCAAAATCCTTAGATAATTATTTATTTCTACTCTTGTTTTCTCTTGTTAGTTGATCGATTAATTTTTATGTTCTTTGAATTCAATCATGACCTTTATTTTTTAAATTTCTCTAATTAACTCAATAGCTAGCTTTCATCAAATCTGTCTATGTTAAATAGTTATGTAAACGTAACATTATTGAGTCCGTTTTATTCATAAGATGATCTTTTATTTATTTTTTTCTTTTAAATATTTTAATCTTTACTTTGAGTTCATAATACTTTATATATATATATATATATATATATAGAGCAATAATAAAAGATGGTTAGCCGATTCATCTCATTCAATGTTTTGTTGTACGTTAAAGAGACGGTAACTAATAAAAACCATTTAAGTTATTGTTTTTTTTTATATATAATTTGTCTTAGATTTTTTTTTTTAAAAAAACAATTATAAGAAAAGTTTTTAGTCAAGAATTTACGGATTTTTGAATTTTTTTACAAGTTTTTAGTTAAAAATCTGGATATAAAAGAATAAATTGTGTTCTTTTTAGCGAAAATTTTTTTAAAAAGATAATGAATAATTAGTTAAACACAAAATTTTTTAAAACAAGTTGTTTTTTTACTTTCAATTTGATATATTTTATTTGATCTATACTATAACATATATCATCAAATTAAAATTATTTTTTAAAATAATTTTTTATGTTATGTTGATTCACAATATAGCACGAATAAAAACTAATAAATACTAAATAATTGGAATGTATTTTGAAATTACTCATAATTAGCATACATGGTTAACATTGAGAATTTAGAAGTTAAGGAGAAATTTTAAAATACCCAAAAAGTAATTAATAATATTTATTCTAGAAATTCGTTTTGAGTAGAGAAACAGATACAAATAAGAAAAAAAAATTATCTTCGGATCCACTGAGAGTTCTAAAATATTTCCATTTAAACTAAATTTTTGTTTTTTTAATTCTCTATCTTCTTTGTGTCTATCTCCTTTTTTTATAAAATATGTATTGTTAATTACTACTTGTGCAGGATAAAATTTTTTGAAGTTACCTATTAAAACCGATAAAAGTTAACTATTGAATGAATTAAACAAATTCAAAGAACAAAAGAATTAATTGAATGAATCCAGAAAACACAGGTTAATTTACCAAATTAAAAACACAAAAATAGAAATGAATAATTGAAACCAACACATAAGTAGATATAAGGATTTTACCTTTTCTTTTTTATAATAGTCCCAAAGTTCAGTGTCCTCAAATGCATTTTTTTTTTTTTTTTGTGGGTTTAATGAAGTGGTCTTTTTACAGCGAAATTTGTTCGATGTTTTGTGTTTTTAAGGGATGCAATTTCTCATTCCCTTTTGGAATACAACGAAGACTGATTCACGAGCAGACGCTGAACACACTAGATTAGGAATTTCCATGCTCTGGGTCTTTCAACGGTTTTGTTAATAGTTTTCTAAAATGCACTATTGCGAGAACACAATTTCGTCATGAAGACATTTTATTTGGAGCATCGCAAGTAGCCTCTTACACTTGCACTTGCACTTGCACTTTAGGACCATATATATATAAGAAAAAAGGAACTTGCCTTTCAAATCAATAAAATCTCCAGCACGCTGAAAAACCCAAAAGGCGAATGAAACCGATAGAGCCAACTGATACCATTCACTAGCATGCCAAGTGTTAATATTGATAGAGCCAAACTCCTTGGATATGGACTGTGTTGTTTGAAAGAGGAAGAGTACTAAAAACTTGTTATTCGGACTTACCAAAGTTTGTGACAACAAGCCAAAAGAAAATTTAGAATTAAGCATCCCTTTCATTCTGCATATGGTTTAGCACCATTGCTTACACATTAAAAGTCCACTAATCTGTAAATGAAGGTATAGGAAGGAACTATCAAGAAAGTGACCCCTAAATATTCCCACAAGGGAGCAGAATATTCATTGAAAGTCTCTACTTCCTGTACAAAATAATTGGAACCAAAAACCTCAAAACCCAAAAACACTAAACCAAAGCATGTTAAAATACATACTAACTGTTTTCTTTCTAGACCATTACTCTTTGCAGGCACAAGAGACGCATCTTAAACATGTTTTAGAAGTTTTCTTTCAAATGATAGATTTTCCTTATGCTCTGAAGATATCTTAACCCTAAAGCGGCCCCTTGGATAGTGCAGCAGGTGCCATGATGTGAACCAGGAAGATCAATTATGCCTGAGTTTGTTGCGTAAGTGACGAGGTTTTCATCCACAAAGTCCGGCCAAAGATGGCACTTCCATGTGTAGAAAGGTAAGCAGCGTTTAACCTAAAAATCAATTCAACAGAAATAAAGTAATTAGCCAAGAAAAGAAATTACACAAGCAGTGTAACACTATTAAAGTTGAGCGAGAAACTTTACTTATCAACATCTGGAGCAGCCAACGGATCAGAAAACTCTTCCCTGTGTTCTGCAACTGGGACAACACCAGCCATGTCTGGAACACCTTCAACCTAAAATCGAACCATCTGATGTATAATCAATTTAAGGCAACAGAAGATTAATTAAATCAAGCACAAGCTTAGTTTACTCAACAGAATTCAGAAATAGTATTTAAAGTCTGAATATGTCAAAACTCATGTAACAGAGTCAATTCTGACTATTTCCAGCTGTGATTAGATTCACTTGGACATCTTATGTATCCATAAGAATACCAGAAAAACAGCCTGCTGATTTCAACATCGTTTTGCACCCCCTCCTAGTCAATGTGTATTAACTTTTTATCTTGATGAAAATGTAATCCAAAATTAATTTCTTGATATTTGTCTATTTTAATAATCACAATTTGGAATGGCAATGGCAGATGCTACTCTTCATTTTCTTATCCTTTCTCTTCTCCTTCCAACTTTTTCCTTGGGCATGAAACACTATCGTGAGGACACTTTTCTCCACTGATTGGAAATATATTATTCAACTAGAAAACAATTATTCTGCACTTGCTAACAAGGTTTTGTTATCCTCAGTAATGGTGCAATTAGGGAGCTTGCTGAAAGGATCTGAGGGAACTATAGAAATTTTAAACTTTATCATTACATATGCTAGTCCCAATGGGCCCTGAGGTCTGAACCATACAGTTTTGGTTGGCTCGCCCATCCCCATTCATTTAAACAGACAGTATGGAAGAAACAAAATATCACAGGGTTAAGAATGTGGAATGCCAAACCCACCCTTAACCTGCCCTGTGATCATCCCAAGCTCGAACGATATTGAGTCATACAGGAAAAGAAAAAAGATTTGAAATGACCATAGTGGACAAAATAAAATACTTATAATATCATCATTGAGAGCAGCTGTTTAAGCAACTTTAAAATATCTTGCCTGTTGAGGGTACTGTGGATAACCAGCATATGCATTGTATGCATATAATGATGGATCGTGTGTAGCCCCATAAGCATATGCATCATAGCCTTGTCCATAACCATAATAAGCATTCCATTGATCTACTTGCTGGCCCCAAGCAGCAGTTAAGTCCTACAGCAACGGAATTAATATTTATCAAGGCTGGTATAGAAAAGAATAATGATTTGAAAATTTTATGTTAAAAAGTCAACGACTGCAAATAAATACAGGATTAGATAGTCTCTTGCATAGTGCCTTCAATCTCATTATCGATTTCCATAAAGAAAAGCATAATATGCAAAATTTAATATCATTCCACCCTAATGTTCTAACTTCAACTTTCTTTAGATAGATGAGACATTCATTAAAAATTTAATATCCAAAACAGGCCACTACAGATTAAATAAATAAATATTGACACAAAATACCCAGGGATGTGCCCATCTGCTGCTAAGCAGTCTACCATGAATTGATTTCTTCATGGTATAGAGTTGGATGTTGAAAATTAAATAATTGCGTCGTTTTTATGAATTAAAACATTCTCAATGCTGGAAGTGAAACCTACTTGTTTCCTGCCCCAAGAAATGCGCACTGGCTGTTGACCAATCACATGCCCTTGCATTCTTTGTATTGCTTCTTCCGCTGATGTTCTATTCAGAAAACATTGGTAGAGGTCAGAAACTATTACATAGCAGAAGGGTAGTGAAAACCTTGACTATAGTATATTATAAGGATAGCACTATTGACGTAGTTCCACAAGAATCCTATTCCCCTGCATTTGTATGACTTCTTCAGACAGTGACCTATATAGACAAAATTGGTATTGGTGGAACCTTGACAATAATATATTCTAACATAAGGGGTAACCCTTTTGACTATCCACACAATCCACCTCCCTCATCCTTTGTACTTGTGATTCTCCTTTTCTCTGACCTATAAGAGAAATGAAGGGCTAACCCATATGAAAGTGTTGCTACATAGAAATGACCATGAACCAGCATTCTAACTCAGCTACCAAATGCTTAGTCAAATGAAAATGCCATGATGCTGCAATATCAGTACTTATATGGCATGTTATCCAAAGGTGATAACATAGTAAGAGAAAAAATTTACAGTACTAAGAAAAAAAACCTCAATGCAAACTGTACAAAACCACATCCTCTGCCCGCAGGAATCTTGACAGAGGCAATCTCCCCAAGCTGCAGAAAGGTTTGCCTAAGGTCCTCCTCTGTGGCATTAGGATCCAAGTTACCAACAAAGATCTGCAAAAGAAAAAAATAATTAGAGAAATGCACAAGAAACAAATCTTCAAAAAAACTCAACTATGGCCAACTTACTGTGGTATTAGTAATGTCACTATCCGCTGAAACCACTTGGACTGGTGCAGCGTATGCGGGAGCTGGATAAAAGGCTGCAGAAAAATGAAACTTAAGCACAATGTTATCCAGGAACCAATTGAAAATAAGAGTGATGCACTTGAATGCCAATGCATCATCATGAAAGACAAGATAGAACGAGTAAGCAGTATTAAGAAGTCATTAATGATCAAAGGCTTTAATGGCTGGGGAAGCCTATGTGCTTAGTAATATTTGACTTGCAGAACCTCAAACAGTTTCATAGGGTGTAAAGTTTTTGAGACCATAATTTACGGGACAATAAATTTCACTTTAAGCAGCATATAAAAATTCTACATTCAAAGTGGAAAATAAAATTGTAACCAGCAATAATCAAGACCTATTTGTTAAAAAAATTGTATCAAGATAGCTTCATCAAGGTAAACGTGCAATAATAGAGCCTCTGTAGACTAGGAAATATGAAAGTAATCTGATTGCAATTTGCTTCAGATGAACAAACAGAGGAATTATCACCTTTAGTCGGAGCATACTGCTGTTGATAACTGGTGGTCTTCTTTGGTGTTGCCATGCTGATACGCATTGGCCTAGTTGAGCAATAAACACCATTCATCTCAGTCATGGCACGATTTCTCTCATTCTCATCAGCAAATTTAACAAATCCATATCCCTTCGACCGTCCAGTATTTGGATCAGTCACAACCTTGGCACCTCTAACAGACGGATAATGAGCCCGAAACGTCTCTTGCAAGAGATAATCCGTAACATCGGGTGCTAAATCCCCAACAAAAATCGAATGCTCTGGCCCTGCATCTGGCCGCCTTTCCCCAATCCCAAAAGAAGCCCAATTCAACCTAAACGTTTGTTCCGTTCCCGGCATTTGCGCCCCATTATACGTCTGTAGAATCCTTTCAGCTGCTGCATGAGAAACAAACTCCACAAACCCATAACCCTCAGGCTGCCCAGTTAATTTGTTGCGTATTATCTTAATCGAAACCACCTGAATTCAATAAATTGTTCTCATTTTTTGTCAAATGAAAAAAAAAAACATTAAGAAATAGTAATTATTATCCGAAAAAAAGAGAGACCCATGATAGTTAAAGAAAAACCCATATGTATAAACAGGATAAGGAGAAGAAAAAAGAAAAACAAAAGAAAGGGATGGAAGAGGGGACCGACCTCGCCAGTGTGAGCAAAGCATGTGCTGAGGTAGGATTCATCTGCCCAATACTGTAAATCACCAATCCAAAGGGTTCTAACTTCTTCTAAAGTTGCAGGTTGATGGTACCCTCCTGGAGCTGTTGCTGCTGCCATTATTGAATTCACTTTTGCTGCCTCTGCTTTTGCTGCTGCTGTTTTCTTCTTGCCTTAAAAATTTCTCTCTTTCTTGGCGTTTTGAGGCCTAAGGGACACCGGGATAGTGAGAAGTGCTCGCCCTCATCTCGACTTGTAAGTTATAATCGGCTAAAACGACGACGTAGGATACATAAACTACTACCATATATGAAACTTTTTATGTTTTTATGAGAGCGAGCATAAAAAAAAAAAAAAAAAAGAACTTGACATGTCGTTTCGGAGCGCCGGTCGCCCCCTTTTGGGTTTGTGGCAGATACCGTTTCTTTAATCTTGATATTTTCTTAAGATCCTCCTTAATTGCATCCCAAATTGTTGTTAATCAATGAGAGGAGAGCTTGGCATTACAGATAGCTGCTGTTTCTGCACCTACGCTCTACACTTGAGACACATTCTTCTTTTTTTTTTTTTTAATTATAGCTAGCATATATATATATATATATATATATATATATATATATGATGTTTTGAAATTGACGATAATTTTTTCTTTATAAAATAAAAATAGTTGGTGTCCGCACTATGTTACAGGTTTAGCATAATAAAATTATTTTAATTTGTTAATTAAAATTTTATATTTAATTAATTTTTTATATGTTTTTTTTATAATTTTGTACTTCAAAAAATAGCATAATTTTTTTTCTTTATATATTGATTTTTAAATAAAAATTTGTAATAATTTAAACTAAAATATTAATTCAAAATTCAAAAAAAATTAAAAATATATTTTTTGTAAGATTGTATCCAAATAATAAAAAAAAATTAATATACGAACTTGTATAAAAATTAACAAATTAATAAAAAAAATTTATTCTTATTTAATACTATGAGAAGATTATTTTTTGAAATTATATACATTTTATTTATATATATTTATTCACAAAATAATCAATAATGTTAGCATAAAAAAATGTATTTGAATCATTTGAAGATTCTTTTAACAAATTATTTTAATTATTTTATTTTAAAGAAATTAATTTTATAATATCAAAATAACAATAGCAAATGGTTAGTCTTATGTATCTAGATACATAATTAGTTTTTAATGAAATTGATGATTTAATATATTTTTTATACATCATGATTATATTTTGTGAGTTGAGAGTGTGTAGGGTGAAACTAAAAAATATCATAAAAATTTTGAGACAAATTATTTAAAACATATTATATAAATTTCATTCTTACTATATAAATTTCATCCTTCCTGAATACC